GTCGTAAAAAAATCGGATATGAGTCAGATGGGTCAAAAAAAACGGATTTGGGTCGGATTTGTCTGCAGTGTGAACGTAGCCAAAGTATTGTGGGAATGTGAGTGAGTCAAAGTATTGCCTCAGTGGGACTGCACACATGTACATCACTCTTTTCAGATTWGTTTTTGGTGAAACTATTAAACAGTATCTTTTTCATTCCACTTTAAAATTCTGCACAGTTTTGTTCTGTCACATAAATTGATCATATTTAAGAGTGTGCTGATATATAATTAATCTTACAAAATGCTCAGATACTGAAGACTGCTACCAATACAGTATTGATACTTCTGTAGAGACTTGATTGAATGTTGTACAGTTTACATTAGAAGTGAAACGCTTGTTGTTTTAATGTTTTATAAAGTTTTAAATTTTTTTTTTTTTTTAAATTTTGCAGCAGTGTACTGTATATCATGTTGTATATTAGATTTGATGCACTCAGATGAGCTGTAAGTATAAGGAGCAGAGTTCCCTCGTTCTCAATATAATAAATGTATTTTTTTAAAGTCATTGTGTAATTAAGTTCTGACTGAGTGTATTTGGCGAGGGACAAAACTGAAGTACATACATGCCAACTTTTTTGTTTTTAACCTTTATTTTAACAGGTAAGTCAGTTGAGAACCAATTCTCATTTACAGTGGCAACCTGGTTGTATGGATGAACTTGTATGGATTCTCTGTAAATTATTGTGTCTTCCCCCATTTTGGACGTACAGGACAATCTCACAAAATTTAACAAATCTCAAAGAGCCTGGAAGACCTAAATAAACAAAATAAAAGAGCCACCTCCCAACCCATTCTGCAGCACAGCAGCTATGGTGTTGTGCCAAAAATTGCATGTTTTTCTTGAATTAAAACTCTGATTGCGTCCGTGACCATTTCTTTTAGCGATTAGAGGGTAGGGATGGGTGGACTCGTACTGCACTGGTGAACATCCTCGCCCCAAACACACAGACCTGTGTCATGTGAGAGTACTACAGATATTTTGTGAAAATAAGGGATTTTTCAAGGTCAGTGTACAGGTAAATGTCCGAATTGGTTGACATATATGGAAGTACTTGTATTCAGAAGAACTGTTATCAGGACACTTCTAGTTCTAATGTGATGAAATGTGGAAAATTCAAAGCTTTGTTCATATGTCCATACAGATCCAGTTTAATTTAGAACTTTTAAATGGTGAATTGTGAACATTAATTCAGTTTAGATGGTTCTTCTACAAAAATCTTATTAAAAAAGGAAACTGCAATTGAAAATGGTCAAGGTGAGAATAGTTTATTTCAGAAAGTTGTTCAATGGAATCAGTGCATCTGTTTGTTTTTGTTTGTTTAGTGGAAGATGCTGTGGAGCAGTCCCATTTTGCCCTGTTTTTCAACCAGGGTCAGTGCTGCTGTGCTGGCTCTCGGACATATGTTCAGTCAAACATCTATGATGAGTTTGTTGAGCGCAGTGTGGAGCGCGCTAAGAAAAGAGTGGTGGGAAACCCGTTTGACTTTAAGACTGAGCAGGGCCCTCAGGTAGCACTTACAAAACTTTATACCATACTTACACTGCATTGTTTGTTGTTTTTTGCTCAAGTTTCCTTTTACTCACAGATTACGTATCCTATGTATATTTGACATTTCTTTAATTTCCTTGTGATAACCTGCCAGGTGGATCAGGATCAGTTCAACACTGTTCTGGGCTACATCGACGTTGGAAAGAAAGAAGGTGCCAAGCTGATGTGTGGAGGAGGAGCAGCTGCAGACAAAGGATACTTCGTCCAGCCTACTGTGTTTGGAGATGTCCAGGACAGCATGACCATTGCCAGGGAAGAGGTAGGGAAGGGTAGAGTTGTAAATCAAATTCAATATATCCTTACAAACTCAGTTAGCAGCAAAACTTAATCCCAAGTGTCTTTAATGGGTAATCACTGTAGTAGAATATGATGGTTATTCAATTTTTTAGGTTTGGGCCAAGCAAGTGGGAATGCACAGTAGATCGGCATTAAAATGGGTCTTGGCCGATATTGGTCATTTTTTAGCATATCTGGATCGGTCCGAAAAATAGAACTGGGCAGATATTAAAATCAGATATTGATTTCACACTTGTTGCCATTTCAGTTTGGTCAAACGGTGTCTGCTATTTTCTCTCCCAGATCTTTGGTCCGGTGATGCAGATCTTGAAGTTTACGTCCTTGGAGGAAGTAATCACAAGAGCCAATGATACTAAATATGGACTAGCAGCTGCTGTTTTCACAAAGGACATCGATAAAGCCAACTACGTGTCCAGTGCACTCCGTGCTGGCACAGTTTGGTATGTGTTCTGGTTCTACAAATGTTTTTCTATGCAAAGATTTGDGTGATGGCTCTCAGTTGGGAGACTTCATATTCAATTCCCACATTTTCCCCCTATGTGTGTGATTAATTATCTTGTAGGCCAAACAAAGGACAGCCTCTAAAGAATATTAACGTGGGGTATGGGGGCATCTTAGTTGTAGTAAAGACCGGAAACGTGACAGGGGATTCAGAAAATATTTTATTTGGAACCTCTTCTTCATCATCTAGAGGTAGCTTGGAGTAGAACGCCTGCTCTTTTGCTTCAAATGGAGTCAGATTGGGTGGTTTGAGCATCTGATTAGGATGCTTCCCTTTGGAAGTTTTAATAAAACCTTTTTTACAACAAGAGTTCATATCAGGTCTTTTTTATGTATATAAATACTAGTCTAAATAAATTTGGTTTGAATAAAAATGCCCAAATAAATTCTATTATACAAAATGCTAAATATTAAAATACTATCGAATGAAACCAGTAGTAAAGCAGCAACTCGATTCAGTTTATTTATATAGCGCCAAGTCACAACATATGTTGTCTCAGGGCACTGAACATGAAAAACTTTTAAGGAAATCAACAGATTGAATCACTTCATCACAGTCTCTTATCCTGAAAAGCACAATGTAGACAGCGGAAAGGAAAAACTCCCTTTTTAACAGGAAGTAAACTCGACCAGAACCAGGCTCGGGACAGGCGGACCTCTGCCTCAACCGGCTGGGTTTGAGAGGACAGGAAAGAGACAAACTGAGCAGGACTCATCCAGGTTCGCATTCCTCTGGAAGAGAGACAAAGAAAAATACAATTTTGAAAGAAAAACTTACAACAAACATATAGAGTGACTAAAGACAGCAGCAGAGTGAGGAAATGTGATCAGTTTGTCCTCCGACAGTTTAAACCAGCAGAACTAAGGAATAACTTAGGAAACCTGAGCCTATCTATAGGATTTATCAAAAAGGAAAGTCTTCAGTCTAGTCTTAAAAGTAGACAGTGTGTCAGCCTCACGGTTCCACGAGAGAGGAGCTTGATAACTGAAAGCTCTGCCTCCCATTCTACTTTTAGATACTCAAGGAACCACAAGTAAACCTGCAGTCTGAGAGTGAAGTTCTCTGTTAGGAAAGTATGGAACAATAAGATGTTTTAATGAAAGGTGGAACTTGGTTGTTGGAAGCTTTGTGTTAGAAGTAAGATTTTAAATTTACTCTGAATTTGACAGGGAGCCAGTGGAGAGAAGCTAAAACTACAGAAACTGGGCAAACTTACATTTAAAGTTCATAATGTCTGTGTTCATATGTTTGTTTGTCTGCAGGGTAAACTGCTACAATGCATTCTCACCTCAAGCTCCATTCGGAGGTTACAAGGCTTCAGGGAATGGCAGAGAGKTGGGAGAGTATGGCCTTGAAGCCTACACAGAAGTTAAAACGGTAAATACACAACATGTTACAGGTTTCCCACGGATCCTTAAAAAGTCATCAATCCAAGAATAAGGCTTTAATTACACTGAAAATGTCCGAAATCGATCTTTCAGAGGTCTTAAAAATGTGAACACATTGTAAGCAGGATGATTTTAATTCACCTCAAATATTAAAATGATTTACAGAATGCCTGTCATAGCTAGTTGTTTTATGTTGAAATAAACATTTGGGTAAAAATGTTGCTAATTTTTTTCTTTTTTTTTTCATTTGTTTATTATGAAGTTGGTCTTAAATTTATGACCCTCCGGTAGGAGGGCAGTGATTAATCTGCATGTGAACTGAGCTGCATAAACGGAGCAGTTCATGTCTTTTTTTTTAAGCTTGGAACTTCACACTCTTCAGTTTTGAATGGATAAAACTGGGATGTGCAATGTCCTCAACTACAAAATGGAAATCCTATTGTTTGTTTTATTAAACTGTTTTAGGAGAGAAAGGAAATAGAGATAAGTTAACAGGAAAACAACTCAACAAAACAAAAGACTTCAATTAAAACAGGAGTATGTCCAGTCAATGTCAGCCTGTTAACTAATGTAAAATTCTATATTTCCAATACTGAAATTTCTCTTTTTCAGGTGACCATCAAAGTGCCACAGAAGAATTCTTAGACGTCCACTGAGATCTGCTGAGATGTATCCAACAGTTATTCTGCACTATGGTTGATTTTAATACCAAAGACATCATGAGGAAATTGTATATCATAAACGTACAGCCAAGACTATAAACTAGTCAGTCTGTACTCTTGGGGTTTTTCTTTCATGTAATTATTTCATAATAAATGCATTTGAAACACTCAACTGTCATTTTAATGATTGTAGAAAATAAACGGAACCAGTGAAAAGTGATGGAAGTGTTTGATAAGTCCTGGACCACAGTCTGAGGTAGATTTACTGTGTGAAACTGATGTGAGATGTTCTGATAAAACCAATGAACTTTGGTATTTTCAGGTATTTATTCAAAATGGTTTTAAGTAATAGATGACTAAAGCAAACTACGTACATATTTTTGTCCATAAATTAATTGATCTTGTTTTGACCTGAAGTGCCCTGAGGTTTACAAAATGTTTTTTGTTTCTTTTAATAAATCAGCCATATATTTTATGGCATGTACAGTGGTTTGCAAAAGTATTCATACCCCTTGAACTTTTCCATATTTTGTCACATTACAACCACAAACATAAATATATTTCACTGGAATTTAATG